AACAAAAATAGCTCAAGCCAAGGATATGGTAGAGAAACGTGAAGCAGCAGTTGTGGCTAAAGAGAGAGCTTCACTAGAAAAGCTCCAAGAGAAAAGAGATGCTGCAGTTTCTTCCATTTCTGTTGCTCTAAAAAGGCATTGGGAGCCATTCTCTTTGGAACCTACTTTTAATATTGAGGATGACAATGAGTCATCTGTAATGAAGGTCAATAATATCGATGTCACAGAGAGTAACACTGATGAGGATAGTGGAAAGTATTATGATAACAGAAACATGGAGGTTAAGTCTTATCCAGAGTTAGTTAATTTATGTCAAAAGATGGATTCAGATGGCATTCACAAATTTATATCAGACAATCGCAAGGACTTAACTTCTGTGAGAGAGGAGATACCACTTGCTTTGGAGGCTGCTTCTGATCCAGCATCTTTGGTTTTGGACTCGCTCAACGGTTTTTACAACTCAGAAATAATAAATTCAGATGCTAAAAAAGATGCTAACCTTTTAGGTATCCGTCGAACATGTATAATGTTAATGGAGTGCCTTAGCATTTTACTGTCAAACATAAAAGTGGAGTATATTCCAAACATAATATCTGAAAGTGTTAAGATTCGAGCAAAAGCTATTGCTGAAGACTGGAAAACAAAGTTGGATGGTTTGGATTTTGTTGTCAATCACGGGAACTCCTTGGAGGCTCATGCATTCTTACAACTTCTAGCTACTTTTGATATTAGCTCTTGTTTTGACATGGATGGTTTAACCAAATTGATACCAATGGTCTGCCGTCGTCGTCAAATAGCTGACCTATGCCGGTCTCTTGGACTCTCAGATAAAATGCCAGGTTGGTCCTAACATATTGTTGTTCAGTAGTTGCAAGAACTCCCCAATGATCAAAATTATTCTTCAGATATGCTTTCTTTTCTTTTTTCACTCTTTTTTTTAAATATAAAGAGTATTAGGGCATTTAGGTATTAACCAGTGATACCAGCGAATCGTCTCTTTGAGGTTTCCCAAAATTCGCTGATGGTCCATTTTGAAACATATTGAGGTGAATTTTTAGAATGTTTTCGTAATAATATTTATTTATTTATTTATTTATTTATTTTTTTGCGTTTTCCTTATAATAATGTATTAATGTTAACACTTAACAGTAATAACGTCAACAATGGCACACAGTTCTTCTACATCATACCATTTATAAACATGTACCCACTTATTTACATGAAATCTTTTAAATGAATGAGCACTAAGACTCTAATTAGTTGGGGGCTCAGATTGAAGGGGAGGAAAGTGGAAGGCTATTTAAATCCCCTGTATTCTCCATTCTACCTCCTCTGTCCAGATCCTAGTATTTTGGAGGAGTAACCGCTGAGGAAAAATATTAAAAGATCAATGGACAAAATTAGCTCCTCCAGATTTCTGTAAGCCCTAAATTTTAAATGTATCAGGACTTCCTCGCTTTCTTTCTTCTCAGCTCCCCTTGATGCATAGTTCTACTGGTGCTATTTTTATTCGTTCTTTGGTTTGTTAAGAACACACAAGCTCTTCTTCGCTCAATTCTTTGAGCTTTTCCATACACACATATAATTGATTGAACCAATTTCACAATGGTGCGAGTTAGCTTTGGTTTTATATATGAAGTATGTTTTTATTGTTGTAATACTTCGTATATAGTATAAATGGCTGCATGGCATTTCATAGTGTATTACGTGGGTTTTGAAATAATTTTAATCAATAACTAATAACTTGTCACAGGGACAGAAGTGTTTCATTTTTTTCATAAACTGCGGGAATAGTTAATAGCATATGGTTGATCCATCAGTTCTATTTACTTTCCTAAATAAGGTGTATTAGCAAGGGCAAACTAGGAAACGAAAAGTATTACACTTTTCTCTCTTTTCCTCCCAACCATACTCAAGAGGTAGTGAAAATCCTCCCTTCTCCTTCCCTTCCCAACTCCCTTATTCTTTCTTTGAACCAGAAAAGGGAAAAAGGTCCAAGTTTTTTAGGATGATGGTATAACTCAGGACAAAAATCACAACATTGCTGCATTCTGCTCACTTTACAGGTGTTATTAATGTGTTGGTAAATATTGGAAGGCAAGTAGATGCAGTAAATCTGGCTTGTGCCTTTGAGCTGACAGAGCAGTTTCCACCTGCTCCTCTACTGAAATCTTACTTGAATGAGGCAAGCAAGGTTCCTTCTCCTGGAAAATCGGGGAATGCCGCACCCACCGCACAGGTTTGATCATTTGCAAATTCCACCTTTTTTTGGTAATTTGGGCCTAGTTATTTAACTCGGTTTTTCCAAAATTCCATTATTCTGTATATAACCACAAAGAGATTAGCTTTTTTGGAGATTAGACTCATTAGAGATGATATAGATTTTTTGGAGATAGGTAATCAGCAAGAAGAGAATAAACAATAGGTTGTTAGGAAACTTTTAAGAAATTGGGATCTCTTAAGTTCTAATACATGTGAGAATTAGGAAAGGCAATTAATTACAACTTGGCCTGACTTGACTGGATGTCTGGACTGCGATACAGATGCATACACAACATCTAAACTGTCATAGTATACCTAACAAAAAAATTGGAAATGCAAATAAATTCCACAAATTTTGTGGACTTCATTAGTATAAACATCTAAACAGTCATATTATACCTAACAAAAGGCACTAATCTTTTATATAATACGTGTTTTGAAAAAATATGTTAAATTGATTACTTCGCTTTGACCCCCCACACCCATGGCCCCACACAAACATTTTCTTTGCTTCAAGATTTCCCATCGAATTTCCTCCCTATTATCTTTCTCTAGCATTTACCAAGTTCCAAATGCCCCATTAATGGTTAGTACATTTATCTGAAAGCTCATATTTTCCGTTCGTTCCAGAACGATATAAATGAGAAGGAGTTGAGTGCCCTGAAGGCTGTAATTAAATGCATTGAGGATCACAAGCTTGAGGAGCAATATCCTGTGGATGCACTCCAAAAACGAGTCGTCGAGATGGAGAGAGCAAAGGCAGACAAGAAAAGGGCAACTGAAGTTCCCAAACCCCAACCCAAAAGACCCCGTGGTAATTGTGCCCGAGTCGCTAACATTTCCACGGACAAGAACTTTTATGCTAGAACAACTGACAGGTACCCACAGTACGTGTATGAGAGACAGTATGCCTATACTGGACCAGCTGAGGCCCATATACCTGCATTCGTAGGCAATCCTTACAATCTCTCTGGTCCTGGCAACTTCTTTGCAAATGGCTACCATTATCAGGCAGCATACCTGCACTAGTTACTACAGCGCCAAGCAGGGTTACCTGGTTACCATCTACTAGTCCTTAGTCCTTTAACCCTCTTTGTGTGCTTGCTTAATTTGAACCATATGAACGATTTCACTACTGAAAAAATCCCGACTTGTTAATTTCCAGCCCTCTGTAAAAGCTAATGTTGTAATGTTTTACTATGCACCATGCTTCATGTTTATCTCTCCATAATTTGACTCTCGGCTCACTGTGTTCTTTCTGCTCTTTTGTGACTCTTGAGATAATGACGTCAAATGCAAAACTTAACCAGGCTTTTCATGCTACTAATAGACTTGAAATACAATTAGACATGGATATGCTATTTATTGAAACTGATTGTTCAATAAAAAGATTTGGCCTAATCCGACACAAAAAATGTTCGAAGAGTAATAATGATTTATTATTCGAACATTATGGTGTTATGAAATTGATGATTCGGTCATTCAAGTATTCAACACTTCTGTCTTGAATTTGAACATAACACATAAATTAATAGATAAAATCACTAGAATGATTTGTGTAATTAAAGGATTCAATCCATTTTATTGAGCCACAAAATAAGCACGAAGAATGTTAGTTGGCTTGAATTAAATTCCGAGGATGAATATGGTCTAAATCTGCAAATTATAATGTGGGATCTGTTCACTTTCCACAAACTACTCTCCTCACAAAATGACATAATTTTAAGTCTATAAAAAAACCCTCTGAATTTGGGGAAAAACCTTGGTAGTATTTTATTGATAAAACTAAAAAAAATGAAAAAATAGCTAAACGATCGTTTACCATAATTAAAAGTTACATGTTTGGTGAAAGATGTTGCTGATAAGCCGAAAATAGTGATTATTGAATTGGGTTTTTAAGTTTTAATTTCACACACTAAATTAAATTATATACCGTGATAATTAAAATAAATAAGGTTTTGCAAAAAAATTAAATCATATACCGATATCAATTTAAGTCTTTTTCTTTCAAAAAAACGGGAAAAGGGACAAATAAATCCTCGAACTAACAAAAAAGTGCAAATCAGTGAAATCACCCCTTATATAGGAGGCTCTGTCCGGCCGTCGTCATATGAGGAGGTTCCCGATGGAATTTTTTGATGAAATGTTTTGAGCATCTTCTTCATTAAGTCTAGTTTAGCCATACCAAATTTCAGATAAAAATTCAATCCGGAAGGCAGTCAAATGAATTTTGGCAAAATTCATACCAATAATCCATACTTTTAACAGTTCTACAATAATAATCCCTACCGAAGTTGTCTATATAAATAATTCATACTCGTAAACGCGTCTACATAGATAGATTAGATTAATCTTTTTGATATTTAATATATAAGGATACAGTATTAACTTTGTTCACCATTGTCATACCTGTGAGTTTAGTATTTTTTTTTAAATAGAGCTTTATATGTGAGTTTAGTATTTTTTATATCATTACTAAAATTATTTTCTTGAAGGCTAATAATCTATCTATGAAGGTTTAATCTATCTATATAGACACATTTAAGAGTTTGGGTGATTTGTATTGACTTTTTCAGTAGAGATGATTATTGTAGAACTACTAAAAGTATGGATTATTGGTATGAATTTCACCATAAATTTTTGAAGATAACTGCGCAGTTAAACAACGCAGTATCTTTCAGAAAATCATTAAACAAACTCAAAAACAAACATAATTCAGCAGTTTCAACAATACTTGTTCCGAAACAAACTCAAACAAAAAACGAGCGAATGCAACTGTGCAAGTTCTGTCCAGTTGTGTAGCTCACAAATTTGTGGAGATCTCTCTGGTGTCAATTTCCCTCCAAAAACTTGCAGAACCGCCTTCTTTTGCCCAGCTTTGTTTGCCTGCAAAATTTCATGTAGAAATGATAATCGACGAAATATCATCGCAGAATCCCCGGCGATTCGGCCACGATGATCCTCATTCTCACATATGCTCTCAAATGGAGTTGTCAATCAAGGAAATTGAACGGCACTCGCCGGGAAATCCATTGCCGGGGACCCTCTCCTCGGAGCTTCAGCGCTGCATTGTTCAACTATCTCCGCTCGTACCGCTTCCTAACTCAACCAAGCTCCAGATATGGAAACTCAGCTACCGCCTCTGGAACGCCTGCGTCGACCTCTCTAATGCCGCAGGAGTCAAATCCTCCGCCTACAAACTGAATGAAGAACACGCGAAACTACGGCAAGTCTCCGCTGACCTACTTTTCCTCGCTGGAGATGTATCTGGTATTCCTTCACCGGCTTTTAAAACCGCCTCCTTCTTCTACAAGACCGGCCTTATTTGGCACGAGCTCAGGAAGTACGACCTCGCTAGCAATTGCTTTGAGAAGGCTACGGATCTAACATCAAAAGTCGAAATCAGTTCGGTTTCAGATGGCGAAGAAAAAAAGCTTTTATTAGACATCAATATTGCTCGATCCCGAACAGCTTGGGAGGTCGCTGATCGGAATTTATGCATCACTTTATTAAATCGTTCGAAGAACCTACTCTTTGGTGTCGCAGAGAACTACAGAGCTTTAGCAAACCAGTATTTGATATTTGCAAGGACACTACTTGCAAAAAACGAAGTTTCAGGAGTGAATGAAGAATCAAAATTGATGAATGAAGCACTAGAGTTATGTGAGAAGGGATTGAAAATAGTTAAAAAGAAGGATGAGACATTAGCTTTGAAGGATCTGAAGTCAAAGACACTTAGATTTATGGCAGCATCTCATTTGCAGAGAGATGAATTTGAGAATGCATTGAGGTGTGTGAAGTTTTTGAGAAGTGGCGAGAGGGATGAGCACCCTAGTCTCAGTGTGCTGGCCATGAAGGCTTGGTTAGGGTTGGGCAGGTTTGGAGAAGCAGAGAAGGAGCTAAGGGGGATGGTGTTGGATAATGGTATTCCAGAGGGGATTTGGATTTCAGCAGTAGAGTCATATTTCCAAGCTGTGGGGGCTGCAGGAGCTGAAACAACGAAGGGCGTATTTTTGGGACTTCTAGGAAGGTGTCATGTCAGTGCCGGTGCTGCACTGAGGATTGTTAGTAAGGTGATTGGAGACGGCGGATATGATGGAAAGGATGCAAGAGTGAGGGCAAAGGTGGTGGCTGAGCTGGCATCTGATGACAGGGTGGTGGAACTCTTCTCTGGAGAGCCATCTGCCAAGGAGAGGACCGCCATGCATGCTATTCTTTGGAATTGGTAAATTTACGGATATGGACATTATTCCTTCTTCAAGTGTTTGAATGTTTTAGTGTCGTTTTGGTAAGAGTTGTTTGGATGAAATCCGCTGCACTTTTAGAATTGAATAATGTTCCTTGATATCCGTTTCAGTAGAAAGCTATAAAATTTTCTAGAACCTATCCAATTATGGAGGGATCCCAACCAAAAGCTACTTATTCTGATTACTTTGTTGACAAGTAGAATAAGACAACTAATTGATGTCACAAATGGGGCCTTACCTATCTTGCATTGCTATTGTCATGAGCAGAACGCAGCATTCTATGGTAGCTTTACAGTATTCTACATCTTTGAAAATGGTAAGTTTGAAAGAAGTTAGTAGATTAATCAGGACCGAAAGAACCAATTCCTCCAGTCCTTGCTTCAGTATTCAAGAATAATGTGATTTAGATAAGTTGTCGCCACTGCTTTGTCTTTTTCCTGGAAACATTTGAATATCATACTCTTCCAAGTTCAATCAGAGAGTATCTGGTAGAGAGTTTTGTTCCTTTTAGATCTTTTATTTGTGCATAACCATACAAGCTACCATACTTCCCAAACAAGATAAACAACCAATATCAGTGCTCCTATAAAGATGAGGCTTATTCAATTGTTTAAATTATTAAATCTGTAGTGCTGCTGAACATTTCCGTTCAAAAGATTACCAGACCAGCGCAGATATTTTTGAGAAAGCTATGCTTTATGTTCCTTATGATATGGAGAGTAGAACTCTCAGGGCAAATGGCTATAGAGTTTTGTGCCTCTGTCATCTTGGCCTCTCGCAGCTTGATAGAGCTGAAGAGTACATTAATGAGGCTGAAAAGGTATGTTTGAAATTACTGAAAAAGAAATGTTTCTGCTTTCTCCAGTTTTGATCTACTAATACTTTATACAATTTGCAGCTTGAACCAACTATAGCCTCAGCCTTCCTCAAGGTGATCTTTCATCGATCTCTCACTTGTCAAGGAGTGCCTAGTTTGAAATCTGTTTAGATCTTTACACGTATCCTGAATCTTGCAGTTTAAGGTGTACCTACAGAAAAAAGACAACACTGCTGCCACTTCCCAGGTTAAAGCAATGTTGAGTTGCCTAGATTTCACTACTGACTTTCTCTTGCTCGCGGCTCATGAAGCTACAGCTTGCCATTCACTTCCAGTTGCCATTGCTTCTTTTTCACATATCTTAGACTTCTATTCCGCCGGGAAATCAATACCAACCTCTGAGGTAGTGATTTTCCGGACATTAATCGAACTTTTATCTCAAGATCGTAACAGCGATTCTGATATCCTTAAAATTGTGAAACGAGCTTATGCCCGAATGTGTGAACTTGGACCAAAAGCCTTTTTTGGGAATGGTGAAGTTGGTAGACGAGAAAGAAATTGGTTTTCTGTGAGTGCTTGGAATTCCGGAGTAAGAACTGGAAAGGAGAAAAAGTATGACTTATGTGCAGAATTCTTCAGGTTGGCATCGGAATTTTATAGTGTTGTGACTGATGAAGAAACAGAGGGGAACACTGTAATGGTTTGCCAATCACTGATATTGGCTGTATCTTCCATTATTGCTGATGAGAAGTACAAAAATGTTACACTAATGGAGACTGAAGTCAAACAGGCCATTGCAATGCTTGCTAGGGTGCAGAAGGTAATTTAAACTACCCCTGGTCTTAATTGTATTCGTCTAAATCAGATGCATTAAGAAAGTCGAGTGATACTACCCTGTCCCAAATTACCTTCCCACTTTGAATTGTCGCGCTCATTAATAAAGTGGAAATGTATGGTTGTAGTTAAGGTAGAAAAAGGTGAAAGAGTGTTACGGCACATCTCAAAAGTGGGAAGGAAATTATGGGACGGAGGAAGTACTTCATAATGAATCATAACTTATACTACATATATTTAAACCAATCACGCGTACTTAGTAAATCTATTTCCATGTTTAGCAAAATACTTGTATTTAATTCTTTGAAGGATAAAGTTATAAAACAAAATTTCCCTCTTTGATTTAGGCCTTAGGGTCATGCTAACCACACAACCTTTAGGTCTGTGGTTGAACATTAATGAAAAAATAACAGTTTTCATAATTTTCATAAATGAACTAAATCATCAGATAATAAAATCCGAACAAAAAATAATACCTCAAGTTACACCATTAAATCATTAATCTTTATAACTTTGAATGTCTCTTGAAAGTTACCTGAAATACTGGAATATTCTACCAGCATTATAGCTTCCATTTACTTAAACCACTCGCGCATTCCATGTTTAGCAATATATTTTTATTTAATTTGTTGGAGGATAAAGTTAAAGTAGAAATACAGTTATATCTATCACAAGTTTACTAAATGGATAGATAAAGAGTACCTCCAAAAAACTTCCATAAATAGAACCAGTGGAAGGTAGTATCATTGAAGAGTAGTAGCGCTATCAACCTGAGTAGTGTTTCTTCTTCGTACAAATCTATACTTGAATGTCTTCTATTGTGTTTTGATCTGAAGTTGCTAATGTCTGTAAATGCAGATAATTACGTCAACCGTCGGTGAAAATGACAATCTAATAGCAACTATTGGGCACGACTTATTCTTTTCATACACATGGTGCGCTTATGATCTCTATGGGAGGCTGGATGGAATGGGTCCCCAACAGCTTCTCCTAATAAAACAGCTGGCCAGCTCAAAAGGCAGCAATCCTGACCATCTTCTCCAGATAGGCCTCGATGCCGCACAAGGACCACGGTCAAACCACGAAGTAGCATCATTAGCACTAAATGCGTGCCTCTCTGCCCTCCTGGCTGCCCCACTGCCCGACTACACAACCGTCGCCCTCATCCTCAGAAAACTAATCTCTCTCGGGACTATCCGGTTAGGCGATACATGTGATGATAGTGTAATGGAATTGTATAAGCAAGCATACAGGATTATGGTGGGGCTGAAGGAAGGGGAATATCCGGTTGAAGAGGCGAAATGGCTGTCTATGACTGCGTGGAACCGGGCAGCTGTCCCGGTGAGGGTGGGGCATATAGATACAGCCAAGAGGTGGATGAGTATGGGGTTGGAGCTAGCTAGGATGGTTCCCGGGATGGAGACTTATAAGTCGTGCATGGAAGAATTTGTTGCAGGATTTGGAGAGAAAATTGATGGGCAGGGCGAGACTACTAGAAGCAGTGGTAAGTTAGTCAGCTGAGGCTAATTCTGCTTCTGTAAAGATTGATCAATGGATGGTCTAGTATCAATAGGCTGTGGGGCATTCAGGCCCGCCTCAGTATCCTTGGCCTCTGTTTTGCTAGATTTGAATTAGCATTTAGCACATAGCTAGATGAGTTGGATAGTTTACGCGGTTGATCTAGTTCTTTACCGTTTAATTAGCTAGACGGTGTGGGAGATATGGTGTACAGTCAACATTAGGGTTATGAGAATGAGTGGAAACTGGAAAATACAGAATTAGTAGGAAAAGTTGTGAGTTTAACTACACACTGATCACTGATGAGTGTCTATAATAATAATACAATAACCTTAATGTGTAATTTGAGTTGATGTCTGTTTTGAGCCTTCTTTCCATAAAAAAAAATGAGCCTTCTTTCAAATATCAATAGGAGTATCAACAATAACATAATTCATTAATTATTTAAATTCATTTGTCACTAAATATTGTGTAAAAAAGTTTTACCATCACCCGAACTTTTTGGAAGTAGGTTAAATTAATTACATGTATTAGTATGTGTTATTTTCTATGGGTCATTCGGAAACAACCCCTCTGTGCTTTAGTACACGAATAAGATTGCGTACCATTCGACCCCTTACTCCATCGTAAGTGGGAGACTTTGTGGCACTGGAGTAAGATGATGATGAGTATGTGTTATTTTACGCTACATTAATTGGAACATTCATCATTGGTGGGTGAGATAAATATTAAGAAACGCATACAACCTCCATTTTTAAATGGATGTAATATGTTGAATCTTATACTATACACATGCTCTAGTTTGAGTAGATTTATTTATTAATGTATTAGAATTTTAGAGATTTAAGTTTTGATCTAAAAATATCGTTAAATTCTTCTCATATTGAATTTCAAAATGTGAATTATTTAGTTTATTAATTATAAGGAATGAAATATAGCAATAGTCAAAGCGGTGTATTGCAAACGTGAAATTGAGAAAACTGTAACAAAAAAACTGATATTTGTAGATTAAAAATTATCAACGAGTTGAGACTTAGAGTGTATAAATAAGAACTCAATAACACGAGAAGATATGAATATACAAGTATCGTTTAACTACTACGTATGTTTTAAAGAATGAGTATACTCTTCAATTTTCATTTTAAACAATTACGTAAAGTTAGAAAAAATAGATAAATTTTTCAAATGCTTTAGGGGTCTCTATGGTATCTGATAGAGTTTGGATCTAATTCATAAAATTGTTTTTACCCTTCAGGGAGCAGAAGCAGAAATTGAAGTATTTGGGTGAAAGTGTAAAAGTGATTCTGCTGCTCTAATTTACTCTTAAAATCAGTTTTTTATAATCTGGGGGAGACCAGATTCTGAAAACTGATTCTGATTTTGCTTCTGCTATAAAAAAGAAACAAAAGCATCCCATAGTAAACGCAATTTATATGGTACACCCGGCTGTACCTTCCTCTTGGTACAACCAGGTAATTTTGTAATAAACTGCAACTTCTATCCTCTTTATTTCTTCTTTTTCCCTTTGTTCGCTTTTTCCCTTTGGTCGTCGTCTCGCAGCTTTCATCTTCTTCCGCGGATTGCTTCTTAGAAGCAATGCCATAGATTTTGTTCTTCGATCGGTTCTTCCGGTCCTTCTTCTGTTTATTTGTTATCGATCTTCCCGGTTTTCTTCTGCAGCTTTCTCCATTCGTAGTTTCGATTTTACTTCACTGATCGATTTAGGTAAGTAGTTTTCTTTGCCGTTTTACATTTATATGTTTTTTCCTTCTTCCGTTTCAAATTCTTTTTTGTTTCATCGAAGTTATCTTTTCCTGTAATCATCTTTATTTTTACTCAACTAATTTTTTGGTTGTATTGTTATACGTTGTCGCTACTGTTATAATTATTATAAGTTGTTTCAGTTCAATTTTTTTCTGTTTTAGATTCTTATCGACCATATGGCTGATTGTGGAGGTACTTATTCTATGAACTAATGCATTACATTAGTTGATATGTTTTGAGTATTTAGTTGATCAGTTTTGAGTTTACATTTGTTTTCTTTGTTTTGTTTTTACTCTGTGCAGATTGTATTTCTCCTCGTGGAAGATTAATTGAGGATATAGATTCCGGAGGCGGAATTGTTGGCATTCAATCCAGTAATATACTTTCTAATTGCAACTCATACATTTTGTTCTTCTTTAATCAATCTGTTTATATTTTGAATTTTGTTTTGTGATGTTCTTGTAATGTTTTTCCATTCATCTAGATTTCTTGGATTCTGCTGTTAATTTCAGTGAAGACCAAAATCTTGTTTGTACAACAGAATCTCTTTCTTTCGGACCAAGAATTGCTCATTTCTTACGTACATTGTTTCCCTTTCTTTTACTGGAATTTTATATCTTTAGTTTATTTTACCTTTATTTATTTTTTGCAGCTGAACGTTCATCTATTTTGAGACTGTATAAGTTTGTCATGATCCTGTTTCTGTTGAAACCATATCAGTGAAGGAAGCTGAATTTTCCGAGTTGCTTGGTACAATTGTATTTTCAGAGGAAGAAGCATTTCAATTGTATAATGATTATGCTTTTAGGATTGGTTTTGGAGTTAGGTACTCTACTTTGAGAAAGAGGGATGGTGGTTTTGGCTTTAGGGGAAGGGAGTTCTGCTGCACTAAACAAGGCTTAAAAAAAAATAAAGGCGTTGTTGGGAAGCAATTCACAAAAGTTGACATTCGTACTAATTGTAAGGCACGAATTTATTTTGAGATAAAATTTAGCGGTGAGTGGGTTGTTGTTAGACACCTTATGGACCATAATCATCAGTTTTGTCCAAACTCATTAGTTCATCACGTTAGATCTCATCATTCTATTTCTTCTAATGAGTTAGATTACTTGCATCATTTGAAAAAACAAGGAGTCAAGATAGCTGATGGATTTCGATGTTTGCAAGCGGAAGCAGGTGGATCTCCTTCGGTTGGTTTTCTCTTGCGTGATGCATATAACGAATTGACAAAACAGGTCAAGAAATCTTTTGATGGTTCTGATTGATATTCATGTAATTTCTGATTGTATGTTTGTATTTTAACTAGTTTTTATTAGTTCTAGTTGTGGAAATTACACACTTTTGGTGTAATACTTTATTTTCATTTTTATTTGTAATTTAGTTAGATTAGGATTTTTCTGAGCTAAACAGGTCAAAGATCATCTAAGGGATCAAGATTGCACCTTAAAAGATCAAGGAAAGTGCAAGGAGACAAGAAAGATTTCGATTTGGAAAAAATACTCATGTACCCGGTCGGGTATTGCCTATACCCGATCGGGTAATTGCTTGATTCGACTGTCCAAATCAAATCCGAAGACAAATGATCGTGGGAGCAAATTTTCATAAAGATTTGTCACATACCCGATCGGGTATATACCCTTACCCGATCGGGTATGCCCAGAAAAATCACTTTCTGGGCAATTTCCTGAGATACCCGGTCGGGTATCCTATATACCCGGTCGGGTATCAGACCCTGCAGCTCCCAAAAGCCTATAAATACACCCCTTTCTTTCCCAATAAAATCACCAATTCACATATACTCTTTAGCTCAGTTTAGATTAGTGTTTTCTTTATATTTTCTATCATGTTTAGTCTTCAAATGAGGAGCTAAACTCTTCCATCTTGGTTTTGCTACTTTGAAGTTTAATGAATTTGTAAGTTGTGAGTTATTCCCTTTAATCTTCTTCCTTGAATATTAATTCTTCCTTTAAATACTATTTCTATATCAATGTTGGGGAGTGTTACTAAGATGACAATTAGTTAACATCTTGACATTAGTTATAGTAATAGCTATTTCTTCCTCTATGTTAATATTGGGGAGTGTTACTAAGATGACAATTAGTTAACATCTTGATATTAACTATAGTAGGATTCATCTTCTTTAATATTCTTCCTTGAGTATTAATTAATTCCTATTCATATTTCATATTAATATTTTGAACATTACTTAAAGGATCAACTAGTTTTGTTCATATATTAATTATTACTAGAATCAATCGGTTAATACGCTTGTTATTAATTCGGTTCTTTCAATGGTAGTAAACTTGGGTTGTTAATGCATGCTTCTCATGGTTAATAAGCCAAGGGGAATTAATTATATTGATTAAACCAATAAACCGCTTGTGTTGAGGTTATCAATCTCAATCGTTTTTATCTTAAGTTTATTGCTACTATCAAGTTAATATACAGCGCTTGTTCTATATTGACTCGATAGTAAGTTTTATTAATGAACGCATCTCGTTATTAATAACTACCCTCGATGAACTGGATATACTCCTCGATTGAGTATTCGAGAGGAAGATAGTTAAAGATATAACCGGGATCGACGAACATTTCATTAAGTGGATAAAAGCAAAACCAAGCCTCCATCTCTTTTAAAGTAAACCACATAACTCATTCATCTTTGTGTTTAAACATAATTTAAGTTCATAAACCAATCATAAAAAAAACCTTGTTACTTCTTTCTAGTTTTATAAAAAGAGAAGTGTTCCTTTCCCTGTGGATACGAACCTTACTACACTATACTACGTATTAGTGTTGTATTGTATTTATTTTGAGTGCACACACGACAAAGTGCACGTCACTTATGCCAATACCCTGATTAACATCTTTAAGAATAGGCAGTCAAATGAAGAAGATTTCTTCTTCTCTTTTGAGATAGATGTGGATGGTTCTTTAGTCAGTTTCTTTTGGAGAGATAAAAAATGAAGAAAGATTATCTATCTTTTGGTGAGCTAGTTATTCATGATACGACCTATCGTACTAATAAATACGATATGATATGTGGACCGTTTGTAGGAATTAACCATCATACCCATACATGCATGTTTGGTTGTGGATTTCTTCTCAATGAAAGAATTGAATCTTTTGAATGGCTTTTCACTACTTTTCTGAATTCAATGGATTTTGTGCATCCGAAAACTATTATGACAGATCAGTCATCCGCCATGTCTGCTGCAATAGCTAAAGTCTTTCCTTCTTCAAGGCATCGTCTTTGTATATGGCACATAATTGAAAATTCTAAAAAACATATACGAGATTTGAGGAATGACGAAGGCTTTTTGGCTTTATTTGATCATGTTTTGAAACTCTGTCAGACTGTTGCAGAGTTTGATCATTATTGGAATAGGTATTTTTCATTGTTCGTATACTTCCTTATATGTTTTCTGCATTTAGAGTATACCTTCTTGTTGAGCACACTGCTTATCTGTAATGAGTAATAGTGTTTTTTAAATGAGTATTCTGCTTCATATTTTGCAGGATGGTTTGTGAATACAAATGTTCTGATAATCCTTTGTTAACCAAACTGTACGAGATGAGAGAGAAATGGTGTCCAGCTTTTTCAAAGCAGTTCTTTTCTGCTAGAATTTTGTCTTCACAACGAAGCGAGTCCACGAATAACTCAATATCTAGAAAACTGAATGCAAACTCGTGTCTTTGTGACTTCTACCATTTTTTCAGTGAAAGTGTGAGTCAATGGAGAAGTAATCAGGGTAAAGATCAGCAACGTTGTTGGGATGGTTTTCCGGAAATTGCCATTCCTTTTGTTGGTTTGTTACATAAAGCCTCCAAGGTTTACACGATTGATGCGTATAAACTGTTTGAGAAAGAATTTCTACGAGGTATGTCCCTGAAATATGAACTTAGACATCAACAAGGTTCTTTGATGTCATATTTGGTATGGATGCCTCAAATAGATATATTTTCACATTGGGTTTCTTTTGATATGACAACACATTTTGTTAAATGTTCATGTGAGAAATTCTCAGAAGTTGGTATTTTGTGTTGTCATATTCTTCGTATATATCATATTCACTGTGTAGAAGTTATACCGGATTGTTATGTTCTGAAACGTTGGACGCGTAGTGCAAAGTGCGTTCCAACTGAACAAATATATGCCTCATCTGGGACTTCTAGTGTTTTACCTTCTGTTTGGAGAATGCAAATGCAAAAGAAATTTCACAAGCTTTTGTGCTCTAGTGATTCTAATTCTGCAGCAAGGCATTTTTGTGAAGAATCTTTTACAAAGTTGAAAGTGGATGTTGAAGAGCAAGTTGGAAGTATTTATTTTTCAGATAGTGAATCTTCTACAGTTGGTTTGGGTTCAGCAATATCTAATCCAAAGTCTTCAAGGAAGAAGGGTGAAAGAAATGTTCGTCGCAAGAGTCTTATTGAAATCAAAACAAATCAAGCTAGAGCAAAGAAGAAGTCACGTCAAGCTAGTACATCTGAAACTGATCAAGCAAATTTGTAGTTTGATTTTCAAATAGCTATGTAGTCATACTGTTATATTTACTAGTTTACTAGTGACTGGTGTCAGGTTTTTTTATTACTCAACATTTTTGTGTTGATGCTCAGACCGTAGCTATATGTTAATCATTTAAAATTATGCTTAGGAATATTATAAATGTTCTCTGAAATATGAACCTTAAAGTCCAAGGAAGGAACAAGTCAACTGCAGCTAGTACTTCGAATATTGAACCTTGAAATGTGTAAACATTCTTAAAAGCTTTGTTTTTTATTTACATACTTATTATATTATTCAAAAAAGAACATCTTTTATCTTTTATCATCATTTTAGTTTCAGTTATTTTCACTTTTAGACTTTACATGTTTTTCCTCTATGTTTTTGTTGTAGTTTTTACTTTTTTGTAATCATACATTCCTCTGATCTAATCTTCTTTTGAGTAATTCTTTGTTCTATAATGAGTACCACGTGTTAACAAAATGAGTATAGAAGTAAATATAATTTTTTAGTTAATGCATTTTGAATGCAAGACTCACTAAATTATGTGTTTACTATTTCAAATTAAATATAATTTTTTTTTGTAAAACACGTTCACATAAAATTCAATGTTTTAGTTCTTACTCACTTCAGTTGTGCCATTATAAATAATTTACTATATCTTTGAGAAACACTTCCCCAATCTCTTTTTATAAGAAAATTTGTATAAAGTAATTTCATACTTAATGTTCTAAAATTCAATTGATTAGTCTTCAAATTGTGTATACTAAGTAATTAAATGAGCATTTACGCTACTAATAATGAGTATTAATATAAACTTCATAAATACAGATGTCAGCAATCAATATTACAATCATCATGAATGTGTATAATTACTATTTCGCAATGAACACAAATATATACATATTTTTCCCAAAAAAACTTTAAATTATCTATTTCAGTTCGTAGTGAAGACTCATACCATTATAAATAAATTACGAATAATTAGAAAAAACACCCCCGCACTGTTTATTTAATGAATTAATACATTGTCTTACTTTCACACTCAAAGAATTTAAATTTAAAAGCTCACTCCTTAAAATTTTGGATAAGTAATAAATGAATTGAGAATAGTACTTACTAGTAATTATCATTAATACCTTAAAATGTGTATAAGTAAGCAAGGAAATGAGCATAGAACTTACTAATAATGATCAATAATATGAACTTCCCATAAGCATATTACTAACATGACTACTGTCATCCAAGCTTAATAGTAATATCACATGTCCCAAATACTAATATTGTTTAGCATGAAATAAAAAACAACAATATATTCACCAACGCCCACAATCATCAATAGCATTACACATCTTCTAGATATACACATTGTGTTTCTTCACTTGTTCCATGATGTTCTTCTTGATCTCATTCTTATCATATGTTACTATTGCATGCAAGTACTTAATCCGCAGCATCTCAATTGGTTTTTCCTGTACAAACATTATAATTTAGATATTCAAGTTTTCACATAATTATTATGTTTGAAAACTATATTAAACAACTTTGGACTTGCACTTTGTTTATCTAATCCACACTCCCATGCTGTGTCACCATAAAATGTCTCCATGTGCCTCATCAAATAAACTCCCTCATTGGTTTTGTTTTTCTTGTTTCTTCAATGCATTTTAACCACTTCTTCCTTCAGCCTCACAACCTTATCTGCCTTTGGGTGTTTTTGATCTCGAAGAAATTTCACAAATCCACTTCTCTGTAGTTAAAAATTTCAAAAACAGAATTATACATATTTTTATGTTCATGCACATATTGTCTATGTAGTTGCTCAATTATCAAGTGCACATTACTCATATACTAAATCATCACATTATTTATCCATATGTGATAAAATAAAAAGAAATATATAAAACATTTACCAGGTATGACATTTGAAACAAGTACTTGAGTGCAGGAGCTATATCTCCGTCGCTACTATCAATAATGTAGAATTTCATGCTCTTCAAGTCAAAGCACATCATATAGTAGCACCCATTGTATTCATCTGGGAATATGAATAGGTCTGTTGACCTCAACTTATTTCCATCTGCACAGGGAAATTCCTTGCCAATTTCTGCCACAAACCTTTTATTCCTTGTTTGTGGAGCGGTGAGATGATTTTGATCTAGCACATGCTGTCATTAAATATTATAATATATTAGTTTCATTTTAGTAATACTAAGTAAATTAATATGTACTTCTTACACATGGTCTTGTTGAGAAAATCATTCTGCTTTTAGCTTCAGGGCTTTTGAACTTTTCATTATGATTAAGCAACATTGCCCATATATCTATAATTCCAGCATCAACTTTTGTGTTGCTCTTCATTGTTTCCATCTGAGCTTTTGAAAGAGTGAAGTTGTAATGCTTGAACACCACAACACTGTTTGAAAAGAATTATTATATCAGAATGAGTAACCTTCAAATATTAAATGTGCATTATATTAAACGAAATGATTAAGAAAAACTTTGTGACTTACTTCTTGTCACAATGATCATTGAACACAAAACCTGCAAGTAGTCTTTCCTCACTGCCAAGTGTTGTCCTTGCATCTATACTTCTGTTCATGAATGGGGACTTCACAGCAGGTGCTGGGGCTGTTTCTCTTTTTTCTCTTTCCACTTTGTTCTCTTTTGGTTCAATGTGATATTGTTCAACTTGCTTACCCTTTCTAAACCTTCTGTCTCTTTCTTCTTCACATTCTTCCTTTTCAGATTCCTCTTCATCCTCATCTACATCCTCAGCATTGTCATTATCCTTATTCATTTGCTCACTTGGACCATCCTCTGCATGCTCAATTTCATTGCCATGTTGCTCAATAATGTCATTATGATGCTCATCATCATCCCCATATGTATTCGCCCCATCATTTGACTCCTGTGAAAGCAACTTGAAGCTTGGCTTTTCATACTGAGTAAAAGTTGGCCTCTCAACTCTTTTCTTCTGAGCCATTTCAATAGCTTCAACTGCTTTGAGCACTTCTTCAGTTCAGAATCCATCATCTGGAGTGAGTGACACTTCGGTTTCATTTTCTTTTTCTTTCTCCTTTTCTGATGAATATGTGTTGGAAAGCCCATGGACTTTTCCCATTAAAATCTTCATTGTCTCATCATCAGGTAACACCTTTGCAGCCTGTTGAAATTTTTCATCAAAATTGGCCATGCTTTCTGCCAAATTCTTCGCTGCTGCAACAAACTCCTTCATAATGTCCTGCAGTTATTTAATGATTAATTTAGAACAGTAATTGAGCATTCTTTATGTTATTATTAAGTTTATACTAAAATAATTGAATGAAGCATATACGTTTATTAGTTTAATTTATTTAGTCTAGAATTTTTTCCCATATTTTTAACACATTTACTATCTTTGTTTTTTATTTAACTTCTTAAATGCACTCATTACTTTGTACTAAATACTCATATCTAGATATCATACTTATCATTTATATATTTACCCAATTGTTTCTGTTAAAATTAAATAATACTGTCCTTATGTTCTTTGGCTCCTGATTACTGTTTCCCTCAATCGGGATTTCAGCTTCTTCTTCATTTGTGATCAGTTTTGGAACTATCAATTCCCCTTTGTTAGGTTCATCTATATATCTGTATCCAAAACCTCCAGTTTCAATTTCTTCCTTTGTCGTTTGTTCAGCTTTTGTGTTGTCCAGCCAATAATAGATGGCAATGCTCTGTCCACTTTTCTGCCTTTGAACACAATGTTGTCTACATAGAACACCTACATATTTTATGAGATTTTAGAATTGTGTAGTGTATATGATGATATGAGTAATAGTGTGGAAAAAATGAGCAATAACATTAAGAATTTGTAACTTACAATCAGAAATAATAAAGGCCCTGGGAACTGTCTTTCTCTATTTTTGCTCCAATAGTCCTTTGCTTCAATTAATGTTTCCAAAGTGTATCCACACCGATTCAGATCCTTGATTTTTGAATCATCCTGCAATGCCTTCAGAATGCTTTGATTGGCAAAGCAATTTTGCTTCCCTTCAATCAAACACGTTACCAGGAGAACCAAAAAAATTCTTTTTAAACCAACCTCCGCCTGCTTTGTTTTGTTCTATAACCTTCTTCACTTGAGCAGTCTTCACAACTCCATTTTCAGTCTGAAATTGTGATCTCCAATTAGCCACCATGTGTGATGTATTCTCAGATTCAGTGTCAATCAAATTCTTCACATTAATCTTTCCTTTTGGAAACCCCAATGTCACGTGCACTCCATCTTCATTAATCCTCAATCTCTCATTGTTCGGCAGAAGAAGAGACACACTTCTGCTGTCAAAATTGTCCAGCAACCAATATGCCAACTGCATTGGCAATTGCTTCACTTCAAGGTTCAGTAAGGGGCCAAATCCCATCTCAACCACCTCTTTCTTCTGTTCTGCACTTAGATTTTTCATTATTTCTGTTATACTACTCAGAGACATTCTTGTCCACAGCTTTGAGTATTTTGCATTCTCTTCCTTTTCTATCTCCTCTTCGTCCTCCTCAAATTCTTCCTCTTCTTCTGCTTTCTTCTTCTTTATCTTCTGCTTCTTCTCTTTTATTGACTCTGCTTCCCTTGTTATTTTCTTCTTTGCATGAACTTCTTTCTTCTTTTTCTGAACTTCATCATTTTTCTTTTCAGTTGCTTCTGAAGTTGTTGATCTTGTAATTCTTCTTTTTGGACTAACTTCCTCGCTCTTTTTCTCTTTGCTTGAATTTCCTTGTTCTGTACTTTTCTTAATTGAGCCTGCATTATTTCTCTTTCTTTTCTTCTCATTATTTCTTTGTGCAGCGCCTTGTTGTGCTTCTATAACAATCTGATTTTGTTCAATTTCCCTACCTTGTTGCTCATTTTCCCTTCCCTGTTGCTCATATTCTTCTCCAACCTCCTCAGTTGTCTTACTGCTAGTATTCCTTGTTTCTTCAACATTAATATCATGTTGCTCAGTTTCAATACCTTGCTGCTCAGTTTCACTCCCTCGGTGCTCAGATTCTTCTACAACATTCTCAGTCATCTTACTGCCACCTTTGCTTGTTTCTTCAACATTCTGATGCTCCTCAGTTTCCCTCTCTTGGTGCTCAGTTTCTTTCCCTTGGTGCTCAGTATTCCTCCCTTGTTTCTCAGATTGTTCTCCAACATGCTCAGTCTTCTTACTGCTATCCTTCCTTACTTCTGCAACCCTTCTTTCTTCATCTCTCATCTTTATCTCAGCTTCAATTTGTTTTATTAAGTCCATATTAGCCTTTTCCTTTTTTGGAATTGCTTTTGGTTTCATCTTCTTCTGCTTCTGTGGAACCTTGGAAGTCTTTTTTACTCTCTTTTTTGGATTTGAGCGCAGCACTGGGATCTCACTTATAGGTCGTGGATCTAAAATCCTGTATTATTAATTAAAATGAGTAATATATATGAAATCATGAGCACACAAAATATTATTTTGTAACTCTATTCAATCATAGGCATATTCTATACAAACTATATTTATATGTAAATGTAGTTTATGACAAGCATATTCTAAGACAAATTTTTCATAGCTTTTTAAGAAAACATAACACCATATGGTTATTTGAAAATACTGATCAGCTTATGAGTATCAGTTCATAGCTTTTAAATTAACATTATGAATAACTAACATATTATCACCAGTTTTCACTACTATAAAATTGTGACACACTGTTTTACAATTTGAGCATCTTACACTCACATTATGAGCGCACACACAATGTCCATGCAAACGAATTACAGAACAAGTATATTGTATAACAAAAAATCTACTACACTTCATGACACATTGTTCATGACACAATGTCTATTTGTTCATTTGATACAGTGTTCAAATAATGAGTATGACTTCAATTTTAATGTCACATTATGATTAATTAGCATAAAAACATATGAATCATAAGCATATTATTCAATAAGTACAGAAAATTTAAAGCACATACCACTCCATTCATAGATGAGTACTGTATACCACAGATTAAGTATTTTATCATCTTAGAAGTAACCTAATTACAGTATCACCATGTTCTAACTAGTTAGTAATGCATATGACCTAACGTAGAGTAAGATCGGCAATAACCTTGGTATTTTGAACAAAACCTCAAATGATATACTTAATAAACACATATCATGCATCAAATTCATAATATGCTTCAGATTTGTCAAAATCATTTCATTTTTTTCTATAACTTTCGAAACATGCAAGTATATTGATGAATCATTACTTGAATACAAATTTCAACACTATAATATTACATACTTCTCTGATCCTTCTGCAGTTTCATGCTTATCTGCGTTCTTCATCATCTCATACTCGGATAGTAGGTCCATCGCTCGCTTCAATGCTCAAACAGAAACAACTTGCTGCTCAAACTCTTCCTCTGTTCTTCACTTGTTGTTGCTGTTATGAGGCTACTCTTCCAGCTCAGGTCCCAATTTCATCCACAAAGGATGATAATAAGCCACTAGGATCACAAGGGGAGTAGTGGGCAACAGCCTACGACCTTAATTCCGGCCAAATCAGTTCTGGCTCCACCGAGGAGCAAAGGTGCGAATTTAGGAGAAGGGTTTCGGCCACTACTCCCCTTGTGATCCTAGTGGCTTATTATCATCCTTTGTGGATGAAATTGGGACCTGAGCTGGAAGAGTAGCCTCATAACAGTGGTATCAGAGACACGGAGGGACTGCCGCCGCCTCGCCGCCGTACGCCGTCGGCGGAGGTCCTGCAGTGCTGCCGCAGTCGGTCCTGGGGTTCCAGCATCGGTCCAGAGGGTTCCAGCCGTCCAAGGAGGTCCTGCCAGTCCGGTCCAGACCTGTTGCCGCTGCCTGGGAGATTCTGCCGCCAGTCTGCCGCCGGTTCAGTCCGCTGCCGCCTGTCCAGTCCGCTTCCACCGAGTCTACAGCAGCCCACGCTGCCTACGGTAAGTCGGGTAACCCAACCTAGGGCCCCGCTCAGGTAAATTGGCTTTAACTCTTCTTGGTGTACTGAAGTGCCACCGGATTAATTCCCCCCCGCTCCCCCGCTGCTGACCTGCGTGGTCTTGGAAGCCGGCTGTGCCCGACCCCAGGTACGTTTACTAATCCTTTGTGTGATTTTTATTCGTAGTTCATTCATTTTAATTTCAAGTTGAATTGCATTTACTTGTTAGTTGAATTGTGATTACTTGTTGAATCGTGAATTAATTTTCCGGTGAAGAATATTTTGTTTGGATACTCGTTGTCCAAAGTTGTGAATATTTCTTCCGGTTTAAATTTAATCACGTGTTGGATTTTTTATTTTAATTTTTCATGTTGATTGATTCGTGGATAAACTCTCCGGTTAAGAATATTTGTTTGGATACTTGTTGTCCGAAGTTGGGAATATTTCTGTCCGGATTAGTTTTAAATCCTGTTTCTTTGCTTGTTGATTTAATTCTAGCCTATTTGTGCTTGTACGAAAGAACAAGGAGATTGTACCCGAGCTTTGTGTTCATTGGTCTTCTCGGCCTGTTCGTGCTAGTTGCTTCGTACAATTGATAGCCCTATAGGTTATAACTAATCATTTATCTGTATGTTGAGTAAATAAAAATTTTATTTGTGCTTGTACGAAAGAACAAGGAGATTGTACCCGAGCCTTGTGTTCATTGGTCTTCTCGGCTTGTTCGTGCTAGTTGCTTCGTACGGTACGAAAGAACAAGGAGATTGTACCCCGAGCTTTGTGTTCATTGGTCTTCTCGGCTTGTTCGTGCTAGTTGCTTCGTATCGGTTGATAGCCTGATAAATTTTTATTCTCTCTTGCGTGTTGTGCTTGCTTTCCGGTTAATATGGCTGTCAATCAATATGGCATGCTTCCATTTAACGGAAAGACAGATTTTGATATCTGGAAACAGAAAATCAAATGCGTGTTGATCCAACAGAAAGTCTATAGAGTAGTGACTGGTCTCTATTTAGACTCTGAGGATGCTGCTAAGCGCGATGAAATGAATGAAACTGCTTGTTCCTCTATATACCTGAACCTTTCTGATTCAGTACTCAGGAAGGTGGGTATTATAGATTCTGCAAAGGCTTTGTGGGACAAGTTAGATAAGACGTATACCGATACTTCTTTGCCTGGTAAATTGTTTTTGCTTGAGAAGATCTTTAGATTTAGGCTTGACCTGTCTAAGGACATAGATGAGAACCTAGATGTGTTTAACAAGCTTATTCAGAACATTAAGCAAGCTGGTGATAAACACATAGATGACTACACACCCATAGTGTTACTTAATGCATTCCTGACTCATACAATGACGTCAAATCTGCCATAAAGTATGGTAGAGATGATATCTCGTTGGATGTAGTCGTTAATGGATTAAGGAGTAAGGAGTTAGACCTTAGACACTCGAGGGGTACTAACAGTCAGTCTAGGGACTCAGGTGAAGCGTTGTTTGTGAGGGGTAGGTCTAAGAGTAGATCTAGAAACCATAAGAAGGGCAACAACGATAAGAACAAAAACAATGACCCGGGGAAGAAGAGAGGTAAGTCTAAGAAGAGAGTGTGCTATAACAGTTGCTCTGCAACTCTACGAACAACTCCGCGAAGTTGACAAACGTCTGGAGGCTGTCCTCGTTTTTCGAGCTTTAATACGGCGTGTATGAATGCTTGCGTCGTTTTCGAAGAAATTTCAGAAGGCAGTTTTTGAGAGAAGTTACTTTTCCGTTTTTTGATATGTTTAAATCGCAAGCTCTGTTTTTCGGTTATCGATATTACCCGGTAAAAATTGGGGCCAGGTGTGTTATGGGCTAGATCTGTTAATGGGCTTTTATGTTAATTGGACCACGGATGTACATACAACCGGGTGTAGCATATAGGGTCTCTATTGTAAAGAGTTACATACTCCGTATTTTCGATGATATATCTTCCAAATTAAAAAGATATTGTGTTTAATTTGGAAATGAAATTTAAGAATATACTTTTTTTTATGATATAATTATCGAATTTAAAGAGTATATTTGTTTTTGGGAAAAGTGTCAAATAGGCCCCCCTATTAGTACGAAAAAGTCAATTAAACCCCCGAACTCAAAAAACATCCAATTAAGCCCACGAACTAAATATAACGAGGCAAAACAGTCCTTTTAGCAGGATATTAACCGTTCCCAGTTAAGTTGCATGTGTGGCAAATGATGTGACATGCTTTTACATTTTCTTTTTCTCTTTTTCTCTTACTTTTCTTTTTTCCTTATCTCTTTTTAACCGCTTAATTACCTGCTAAAAGGACTGTTTTGCCTCGTTCTTTATAGTTCATGAGCTTAATTGAGTGTTTTTTGAGTTCAGGGACTTAATTGACTTTTCTGTATTAGTAGGGGGGCCTATTTGACAGTTTTCCCTTTGTTTTTTGTCCATGAAATCAAGTCAACCAAGTCAAGCTAATGCAGTGCACTATTTTGTAGGGGTGGGCAAACCGATTTACGGTTCAGTTTCGGTTTATTCGGGTTGGGAGAATTTGTACCAAACTAAAACCATTTGTGTTTCGGTTTGATTTCGGTTCGGTTTCGGTTCGGTTCAGTTTGATGTTCGGTTTACCAAAGTTAAAAGTATTAGGTTTAATTTAGTTCAATTTGATTTGTTTGTTATGTTTATTATAAATTTATTTGATCAAGTTCTTATATTTTAGAATTAGAAAATGAAAGTAATAGTCCACCTCATTTTCTTTTATTGATTAATTAAATAAAATGTAAAAGGAAATAAATGATAGAAAAAATATATTATGAATTAAAATGTCTAACATCTTTTTTATAACTAGAAAAAGATTCACTTCTCACAAAAAATAATATTATAGTTGATTAGCATTTATAATACGGAGTATCACATAAATATTCAAAAAAAAATAAAGGAGTCGATGGTACAAATGTTGTAGTATTCACAAATTTATTCAAACAAATCATGTAAAAAATATAAATGAAATATACTATTTTATCGCCAAACTTAAGAGATACAAATATGTCGTATTAGCTAACTTTGTCATAATGAATGTATGAAATGTGTAAAAGTTAAAATGATACGGTATACTTCGTATATGTTAAATATGTATTTTTTATATCTAAATTATTTGTTTATATCTTAAAAATGAAGAGTGAAGATAAATACAAAATGTATGTATGTATATATATAATAATTGTTCGGTGTTCAATTCGGTTTACTGTTTTTCTTTTTTAAATCAAACCAAACCAAACCATTTTGCGCAGGCTACTATATCGTATGGCATGTGGTATCATCCAAGTGCATAAGAGATAGGATTATAAGATGAAAGACCAATGAAAGAGTGACACGTACGACTAACCACCGCAAGAACCACAAATTTCAGAAGAACTGCTGCCCAGTCATCACAAATTACACAAAAATCTTCTCTCTTCTTCTTCTTTGTGGTTGTTTTTGGGTTAATCCCCAATTATCTTCTAAGGATGGCAGCAGTTGCTACAGCAATGGCCAGCCAGATCAAGACCAGATTGCCTTCTTCTCTGGCCAAATCCTTTGTTAATCCAAAGGGCATTTCTGGAACCCCATTCAAAGTTTTTCCTTCAAGAAGAAACCCTTGCCTCATTGTCAAGGCTGTTCAGACTGATAAGGTAACATACAATATCACTTTTGCTTTACCATTCAAATTTTAAGTTCATCTTTAATAGCATCGGAAATATAGCACCTTCATCAGTTAATCTCTCTGTTTTAATTTGCATTATTAAATCTTATGTTAGAAAAATGAAATTGTTTAGATTTATGTACAAAGTAGAAGGCATATTATTCAGTGTTTTCCTCAAAAGAAAACGATATGATTAAATACATACGTAGTATTTATTTTATATTTGGGTTTAATTTAGTTTAGATATTTATATAATAAATAATACTACATCCGTCCCTTATTAAACTTCCAAATAGTTTTGGCACAGAGTTTAAGATAGTGGGTATTGTGTGGTGGAGAGTTGTGCAGAGGAGAGAGAAATCTGTAACAATTGCTGTGAACCGCAAATTCTGGTCAAAAAAGGAAAGTGTAAGTTTTAATTGGGACGGACGAAAAAGGAAAGTTGGAAGTTTATTTAGGGACGGAGGGAGTACTACATGTTTAATTCGGTTTACAAAATTTTGTATACTGTGATTAATTCGGTTTATAATTACACTCTGTATATGCTACTAGCTAGCCTTCCCTAAAGAAGGATTCACTTCTTGAATTGAGTGCTTATCATGACTGATGACATTGTGATATGTGATATGTGAAATGTGAAATTGTGAGATTAGATTTATTCAAGTGTCACTGGGGCTGGGGACTGGGGGCTGGATTGGACTGGTGGAGTTGGGGCAGGGCAGGGTTGGTTGGGGATGTGGTAGGGCTCTGTGTTAGTGGTGGAAGAGTGGGCAATGATGGTCACAACCAGGGTGGGGTTTGGTAACTATTAGGGTGGTAGTTGTCACCGGAGTCATTATGGGCGTCGGTGACTGGTTGGGGTGGTGGCGAAAACGGTGACTAGGCAGGGCGCTGACGACGACAACGACTAGCCAGGATGGCGGTAGTGGCGGTAATTGATCGAGGTGGAGAAGGCGACTGAAAATTAGGTCACTAAATTATAACTACTTAGCGATGGTCATTGCCAAGATGGTCACTCTGACCTGTGGTGGTCACTACTCACTACTCACTAGTTCATTGGTCAGTGCGGTGGTGATCAGTTACGCCGTTGAGACAATTGATCATTGTAGAGTTGATCATTATAGATAGTAGGTTTAATAAGGCCGCAACGACTTCTTTAGCCCTTTTAATCACATTTTTGGAAATTAGAAAAATCTTTTTATTCATTCTTTATTTTTTATTAATATTCATATCAAAACCTGTTTATAGTTTTATACTACTCTGCTTTTTCGGTTTTCAAAAAAAAAAATAAAGAATGAATTTGACTTAGCAACTTATGTTTTGAGTGATATTTGACTTTGTATTATATTTTGAAAATCATAAATGTATGCATCTGAATTCATTAGAAAATCATTTGATTCTTCACCTGACTCCTTCACAATTTTTAGCTGATAAGTGCATAGATTAACGAATTTAAAAATGAAGTGTAAAGTCAAATATAAACCAAAACACAGGCAAAGTCAAATAAAATTTAAAACAAATATGAGTAGTACCATCATTTTTGTTTAAAATGAAATGAATTCCTACCAGAAGAATAGTTGTGATTTGGTTGCATTCTGTAGCCGACTTATCAAGTGATCCAACCATTGAACGGAGACCCTTTCATCGGAAGCTTAGAAACTCCGATAACATCAAGCCCACTCGTCGCTTGGTACCTCTCCAACCTGCCGGCCTACAGAACCGCCGTGAACCCACTTCTGCGGGGAGTGGAAGTAGGCCTGGCCCACGGGTTCCTGCTGGTCGGCCCATTCGTGAAGACCGGCCCACTGAGGAACACAGAGATCGCCGGAGCTGCAGGGTCTTTGGCAGCCGGAGGCCTGGTCGTCATCCTCAGCATCTGCTTGACAATGTACGGAATGGCGTCGTTCAAGGAGGGAGAGCCACCGCTGGCGCCGTCGTTGACGTTGACCGGCCGGCAGAAGCAGCCTGATCAGCTGCAGACGGCGGACGGATGGGCCAAGTTCTCCGGCGGGTTTTTCTTCGGCGGAATTTCCGGCGTGATCTGGGCTTACTTCTTGCTCTACGTCCTCGACCTCCCATACTATGTTAAGTAGATTGGTTTTGATTATGCGTATTGGTCTGTTTCTGGATGTAACATACGAAACCAGAGATTGTTTTGTATGGATATATATATGTATTGCTATGGAGGATGGACTGAACTAAAATCTACTCTTCCTAAGTGAATGGTTTGATGTTCTTTTTTTAAAGTAAAATCGCTGCAATGCAATACCATTAATCTAAACAGTCATTAACCAAAAAGCTACTAATACAATTTGGTGGCTCACTGCAAATAAAACGACAACTTTGCATAAATACTTTTGCTCTAAATATGGTATGAGCAACACGATTCGCTATCCGTTTAGAATGGATAAACTCAACACGATTCGCTATTCCTAATTGTAAAAATTCTCCCTCTCCATCACGGGCTACCTAGCTCAATGTGTAACACCCCTTTCCAGATCGATTAACAGTTGCATCAATGTTGATCTTAATAATCCTTCTGATGGCTTTTGCCATCTACTTGTAGACTCCTTAATCTTCTCCGCTAAATTGCCCCATCTTTGTTGAGGGCCGACTCTTTAACAAGGCAGCCCCGCCCACAATTACTCCTCCGCTAGTGAAAAATTCATTTTTCCAAACAAGATTATTCCAATTGTAAAGTTGCAAGGCGCCAAAGGTGATGATGGTGTCCGAACAGGCAAGGGTGGCACTGAAGAAGACTACGGCAGTGTATGATTTCTAGTGGTGGTGAAATGGTGGTAGCGTCAGAAATTGGTGTCTGCCACGGCGATGGTCACGCCAGAGGGCTATTCACTTTCTGTCTAAGATTTTTATATTAATAATTTATTTTATATTTTTAATAAAGAAATTGTGCTTTTTATAGGATGATTTTTAGAGGATGTAATTTGGTTAAGTCATGCTTTTTTGTTTCTATGTAATTACACAAAAACATTGAAATCATACACTTGTACTTTTGTATGTGTTACTTCTAATTACAATGATGATGATCATATGCAATGGTATCGAAGTGCATGGAAGCCCTTCTAATGCATGGAGAGTTTAAAATGTCATAGCTCCAAATGAATCTTCTGATTCTTCTCCCAACTCATTCACAACGTTTAACCGTTAACGCCCATATGGCCATATACAAGGCCATATTAAACTATATATTAAAATGTATTGAATGTGTAGTTGTGTTAATCATAAGAATTATGTTTCAATTATTATGGGCAATTTGTCGATATGAAACATTAGGATAAGTTTTTTATTGTTGAATATAATTATTATACTCGTATGAAATAAATTTGCTATACTCCAAAACTCCGTATGAAGAGATCAAACAAAAGACCAGACATGCCAAGTTAGATGTGACTGCAAATGTCACATGTATTGTCAAAGAACAAAATTTGATAAATTTATAAAAAATCAGAAGGAAAAAAAAGGGAAATGTGGAAGCGTATACTGACAAACTGAAATCAAGTGAGTAATTCATTTCTTTCCCTTCACTCCCTCTCATTATTCGCACCCAGTTTAACCCTAGCCCCACTCTACACATCTCAAATCTCAATGTGTTAATTTAAAAAAAAAAAAGCTCTTCACAATTAGTGTGAACAATTAGTGTGATAGCTGGTTGATGCATTACATGATACTCCTTGTTCCTAAACAATCTTCCAAAGTGATTTTTGCACGACAATTAACAAAGTGAGAATTATTTAATGCATAGTTATACATAAGAGAAAGTGATGATTACTTTGAGACAGAAAAAAAGAAAGTTGGAAGATAATTTAGGAACAAATAGAGAGTAGTTATAATCAAGAGAGGATTTACGTGAAGACTATAGTGAGTTGTAGTTTAGGGTAACATAATTTTTATAGTGATCAAATTAAACAAATCAATTCCAAATTAAGTTACCCCTCCGTCCCGTTTTACACGTTTAATTTTTTATTTTCAAGTTATCTCAAAATAAGTGTCACATTTCCTTTTTCGAAAGAAATATGTGACCCACAATTTTCACTTCATTATACTCAAATATATACCACAACTTTAACTTTTTCAACCATTTTATTAACAATTGTGTCAAACTAAAAGAAGACATATAAAATGGAAAGGAGGTAGTAGTAAAATTTACATATAGCAGACATTTATTTCATCTCTAACTTATACAAACTAGAAAAGATTAGCCCATAAAAACCTATTGGAGTATCCAACTAAAAGTATTGACACATTTTTTAATTAGAGCCCGTTTGGTAACACTAAAATTGGTTGAATTGGCTGATTCTGCTGAAATTTATGAAGTTCTGGCTGAAGTGGCTGTATTGGCTGATTCTGCTGATTCATGAAAAAATTATATTTAAAATATTTATTATTAATAAATTAAATAAAAAATTATATGAAAAAATAGCTAAAATGATCTTCTATAGTAACTTCAACCAATATAGCTAGAAAAGTAACTCTAACCTTACTTTTTCTGCTTATTACAAAACTCAACGCGCGGAATCAAAATTTACGTGTTTAGTGAAAAAGCTGGTTGATAAGCCTGATAAGTCGAAAAAAGGGTCACCAAACGGGCTCTTAGTGGTTAGATCTTTATGGACTTTTTTGGAAATGGAAACTTTTGATGTCACACGGAATTTGTTTTCCCCTCTAGATGACACTAGTGGTATATTACTTTGTACTATAGA